AACAGCAGCAGCCATAAAACAACAACAACAACAACAACTAGCTGACCCTGCCATGCATTGCTGTGGCCCAAAAGGGGGTTCTGTGCGGAAGGTTTGGCCCAATTCTATCGTTGGTGGGGCTCAGAATGCTCTGTGATTGTAGGTGAACTATAAATCCCAGCAACTACAACTCCCAAATGTCAAGATTCTATTTCCCCCAAACTCCATCTGTGTTCATAATAGGGCGTATTGAGTGCTTGTGCCAAGTTTGGTCCAGATCCATCATTGTTTGAGTCCACAGTGCTCTCTGGATGTAGGTGAACTACAACTCCCAAACTCAAGGTCAATGCCCACCAAACCCTTCCAATATTTTCTGTTGGTCATGGGAGTTCTGTGTGCCAAGTTTCCATCGTTGGTGGAGTTCAGAATGCTCTTTGATTATAGGTGAACTATAAATCCCAGTAACTACAACTCCCAAATGACAAAATCATAAATCTTTGGGTGTTGGTCACTCCCTGTGTTGTGAGATGTTTTGTTGCCAAATTTGGTGTGATTTTGCTCATTGGTTCTTTTGTTTTTAAGGTACACATTATGCACAGAGCATTTTATAATATAATAGATAATAATAATAATAATAATAATAATAATAATAATAATATATATAATAATTTTATTTATATAACTCTATCTCCTCAGGGCGGTTTCCAAATTGTAAAAACACAAAGCCATACAGAGTAAGCCAAAAGTAAGCCAAAAGAGAAACAAAAACAAAACAAAATAGAACAATACATAAGCATAAAATAGCCAAACAACACATGTATAATAGAACCAATTGACCTTATTTTTTGTGCCAGGATTAACTATTAGGGCTGGACTTCAGAAAGGACCCAGGCAGTTTGGGATGGTTGTTTGTTTGATGATATTTCTGTATCACCTTCCAGCTTGCAAGGACTCTTGAGACAATGAACAACTATTACTACTACTATTGCTACTACTACTATTTTGTTGTTGTTGTTGTTGTTGTTGGAATAGCAGCCGGGCCCCGGGGCCATGCTCTTCTCACCCCTTTCGGGCAGGAGGAGTGAGGCTTGGTGTTCAGAATGCTTTTTGATGGTAGGTGAACTATAACTCCAAGTAACTGCAACTCCCAAATGTCAGGGTCTACTTTCCCTAAACTCCACCAGTGTTCAAATTTAGGCATAAAGAGTATTCGTGCAAAGTTTGGTCCAGATCCTTAGTTGTTTCTGTTCTCAGTTCTCTCTGGATGTAGGTGAACTACATCTCCCCTAAATTCTGCCAATTCCTCCCAAACCCCTCCAGTATTTTCTGTTGGTCATGGGAGTTCTCTGTGCCAAGTTTGGCTCAGTTCTGTAATTTGTGGAGGTCACAGTGGTCTGTGGAAGTCAGAGCTGAATCAGTTGAAGGTATTGCAAATCCCATCATCCATTGTCCATACTCCCCCAAACATATTGTTTTTGTGATTAATCACTATGTTTTAATTATGTTCAATTTGTAACAATGAAAATACATCCTGCATATCAGATATTTACCTTATGAGTCATAACAGTAGCAAAATTACAATTATGAAGTAGCAGAAAAAATAATTTTATGGTTTGGGGGTCACCAACAACATGAGGAACTGTATTTAGGTCACGGCATTAGAAAGGTTGAGCACAATTCAAAGTGCTGGTCTTGACCTATAAAGCCCTATACAGTTCTGGCCCAGCTTACTTGTCTGAACGTATCTCCCCCTACTGTTGCAATCCAGAGCAGGAAACAAGGCCCTAAGATAACTATCCACCACACTTGACTGTGAAAAACAATCCTTTTTTATTGAAGAAAAATGGTTACAAAATAAAGGAAAAATGCAAGTCAAAAGCCACAGCAAAATCAGCAAACATGAATTTAAATGGACAAAGCAAAACCCAAAGCCACACTGAAATACTGGAACCTGTTAGCAATCCACTAACCGTACTTGATATCCTAGAAATCTTTCAAACCATGGCCAGGGAAACCGGGAGAACTGCCAAGGTCTTCATCAATCTGAAACGATGCCTGAACTGAGAAAGTCAGCCCGGCGGAAGGCACTTCAAGCCAAAGAATTGGTTCCGTGAACCGCCCCTCTGCTTTGAAGCCATTGTTTGTTTTTCTCTTAATCGGGAAGACCTTCGCAAGCTGAGTGATTGACTTCTGTCTTGCCAGATCTGGCCCCTTCTGTTCTCATTAGAGTTACCAGGTGCAAAAGGGAGTGAAAGGTCATGGCTTCCCTCTGAAACATTCTCATGAACACTGGTACTTTCATTTTCCAAATCTACAGAAGTTTCTTCCTCACTAATTTCAGGAGCATTGGCTTTTTCCAAATCTACAGAAGTTTCTTCCTCACTAATTTCAGGAGCATTGGCATCAAGAGGTACATTTTCATTAGCATCAGTAAATATATTTTCATTAGCATCAGGAGGAACAAACAGAGAATCAGGTTCAAGTTCAAACTCAGGCTGAACCCCAACAGAACCCTGTGAAAGCCACCCACTACATGGCTACCAGCCTCCTCCCAGTAGTAGACTCCAATCAAGGAAAAGCTTCATGAGAAGTACCACTCCTCTTGGCGTCCCCCCAGCAACAGCAAGAACATCTCTCTGGGCAGCTAAACCAGGAAATCCCAACTGGATGGCCCCCCACGAGGGAGGGTCTTCCTCCAGGAGCAAACCAAGAATGGGCAACTTGGAAGTCCCTGAACAGACTCAGAAGCGGAGTGGGCAGATCAAAAGCCAACCTGGCCTAATGGCACTACCTAAAAGAATCCCGCAACTTGTGTGACTGTGGAGCAAAACAGACAACTCCGGATCCATATGCTTGTCCACGATGCCCTGCCTCATGTACAGAAGAAGAATTGTTGGAGGCTCCAGACAATGCAGATGCTGTTGCCCGTTTGTGATCAAAAGATATTTAGCTGCCTGCACTCCTTCTATTTTTTTATCAGTTTTATACTAATTTATGGAATGCTTTTGATATGAAATAATAAATCAACTCCGCTGGACCGAAAGCCACATTGTCCAAAGGCCTAAAGATCACCATTGCCTCCCAAAACAGATACTTTACTGGGTTGTTGTCGGTTTTTTCGGGCTATATGGCCATGTTCTAGAGGCAGATACTTTACTCTCAGCTCAAGAACGGCCAATGGAATGTCAGTGCAGAGCAAACGGGAGTTAAGGATGAGCTAACCTTAAAAGATGTGCCACAAACAACGAAGTGTAGACATGCCTTACCTTTGCAAAAGCCAATGTTCTCCGCTCTTTTCTTAAGTTTAATAGGAATGTGAATAATTCATCCGTTAATGAGCTTTTGCATTATGTGTCAGTCAGAGGTCTGCTTAGTGATCTCGCGTTTCAAAGTTCAATTTAATTCTTCTTCTTTTTTTCAGCAGAGCTGCCCTGGATTTTGGGCATTGTAGTCCCTGAATCACAATTTTTTAAAATTCCCTAATCCATGGTTTTGAGACTCTTTCTAAAACTTTTCCCCAGCTGGGCATTTTCACCAGGCTTCCCTTTCAAAACTGGACCCTTGGGAATGTGCTTTGAAGTACTACAACACCCATCATGCAGCAGCCAATATGGTTCTAAGCCACTGTAATGAGGGATTCTTGCAAATGTAACTGGAAAAGCGATGTTTCTGGGCTCTTTCGTGTAACCACAAATGCATCCTTCATAGCTGAGAATTGTAGTCCACAAAAAGACTTATAGCTATTATTTTGGCTGGGGATTCTGGGAGTTGTAGTCCAACAAAAGCCTGGTTGGAGGAATTCTAGATAATTTTCAAGCTCTGCTTAACTGGCTAAGCTCCTGAGCAGAGGGTTGGACTACAGGGCCTCTAGGGACCCTTTTCCAATCCTATAATTCTATAAATTAACATATTGTGTGCCGTCGCGCCTGGGGGCTCTAACTCTTAGTGAAAGAGACATAGACGTGACATCTTTCCCCCAGGGAATTGCTTCTTGCCTTCCTTTAAAGAACTGGAACTCCCAAGGACCAAAACACTGTAGATAACTCAAAATAAGTTTTATTGTTCACAAAGAGTTATCCCTTTAAGGAAATAAGCTGGAAGTTTCAAAGGGGGTAAAGGAAATATACATTACAGTCTCTGGTTGTCTTGGGTCCAAGGAGATTTCCTGTTCCCTCTTTTCTCAATGGCTGTGAAGGTCGGAACAAACACAACCCCCAGTCCAATGGCCTATGTTGAAGGCACAGAGTCTTCCTTTTGATGTCAAAGGACCGGTTTGAAGGCGCTTGGGTCTCCTCAACGTTGTCCAGGGTGATCTGGACAGTCCCAAGGGTAAAAACCTTAGAATTGGTGATGAGAGGTAACTTAATTAAGGGCTTTAGAGCCAAGTCTCTTCCTCACGTCTATCTGATAGAAAGTTTGATGGTAGAATGGAAAAGGAAAAACTCTGCCCTCCTCCAGGAAGAGGTGGAGCCAAGCAGTTGAGCTGAGGAAGCAATATAACTGGTGCAAACAACATTGATTGACAGCTATAAATAACCATTCAGTCCAACTATACATTTACAAACTAAGCAAGTAGGGGCATGTTATACATTTTAAACCTTTGCACTTTAAAGTTCTACACACTGGTGGCGCCACCCGTGCCGTCACATATTGTTTGGGACTTCTGATTCATCTTGGCTGCAGTTTGGATGTTTTAATGTCTTTGCTAAGAAAATGAATTAATGGTCTTGCAGATTGCTTTTGATCGAGTCCTTTTTGTTATTGTGGGGACTTGCAAATTATCCTTCATTCTTGGCCACACTGACTGGGACCAATGGGATTTGTACTTTGATAACACCAGCAAACCTGCTCCTTTCCACCCTCTAAAGGTTCAGTATCCCAAAATGCATCCAATCTGATCTGACCTTGGAAGCTAAGCAGGGTCATCCTTGGCTAGGATTTGGATGGGAGACTGCCAGTGAACATTGGGTCCCATAGACTGTATTTTTAGAAGTTCTCACCTACTGTTCTTCTTCTTCCAGAGCTGGGAAAGGGGTCTTTTCCGCCATGAAGCTGGGCAAAGTCCGCCACCCCAAAGACGACCACAGGAAACAAGGTGAATAGAGGTTTAAATGCACATGTCATTAATACCATAAAAGCATTAAAATGTTATTTTATTTTGTTTACAGTGAGACAGAGTATATCACGGAGCAATGCAGAGAAAGAAAGTAGACACACAGACTGTAGCTACTTTGGGTACACAGCAAGGGAATATTACATTTTCTCAAAATACACACACATGTAAGCATTCACTCCTCATCGTGCATACATTACCATCCCTTCTTCATCTCCTGGAAAAAGAAACCCGAATTAGTTCAGACTGCATTCCCTGCAATCTATTCTGCGAATACACCATCTTCCTCCATCCCTTAAAAAAGATGGTGGGTGACCAGACTCCTACTGTCTGCCACACTTTTGAACAGTAACAAGGTCTCTTATGGCACAAATTTCTGCTGACATTGCTCCAAAAAGTTGCAAATGAATGGCAAGTTGTTTTCTCCAGCTAAAACGTGCTGAATCCCATCAGTTCAAGACAGACTTTTTCTTCTTAACTGATGTTGGTTTTCCTTCTTAAGTAAGGTGCATTGTGTTTGCTTCCTTGACTTAAAAGAGTCATTGGCTCTGGTAATGTAAACATGTTGTTTTCCACCAAGAGTTCAACAGTTCATCATTTGTCTCTGGTCATCAGTGTCAGCAGTTCAGTGACTTTAGTAGTTTAGTCTTCATCAGCCTTTGGCAGTTTTCCAGGTCTCAATCTCAGGATGGCATATCTACACTATATAGGCCCCAGCCATACTCTTTTCATACAATTTCATACAGGATTCTATAGCATGGAGCCATTGCCATTCGAAGTAGTGTCAAGCTGTGTTAATTCTGTTGTGTAGATGCACCCATGCATTATGATTAATATTAATATACTGCTTTCCCCCCAATAATAATGAGGCTCAAAGCAGCTCAGAATTTAAAAGGGATGATACCATTTGAAAATAAATAAAATCAATAACTAAAATTAAACTCCTTGCAGTACTAAACCCGCCTCTAAAAATCCTACAAGACAAAATTATTTCCTGAAAGACAGGAAGTTATTTAAAAGAGTTCAGTTCAAACAAAACTTTTAAAATATATTCTGTTTTAAAAGCCTCTATGAATTAAAAAGAGTTTACAGGTCTAAAAAGGTTTTTAAACTCTTGGAATTTCTAATGCAACGATTCTTTTTTTCCTACCAGTTTTCTTCCCTGTTCAGCTTTTATTGCAGCATAGATAGGAGAGATAATATCAAGAGATAATTCCGGAGATAGAAAAGTACGGCTTTATTTCCAGCTGGGACCCTGGAGTGGAGCTGTGTCCAAAAGCAACCAGAGTGCCTGATAAAGGCGTTGACTGCCTTTTATACACTTCGAATGCAGGCAAACAAAGAAACATGCTTTGTGCTGGTACAGCTGTACCAGGAGCTCCAACTTTATTTGCTTTGCATTAAATGTTTGTTTGCAGTCCTAGGTTTCAGGGACTCTGCAGATAGGTGGCTTCCTTTGGTTGCAGTTGTAGGGCAAGTCACCTGTCCATCATAGTTAAGTTTTGGTTCCGTCCCTTGTTCAGGGCAATTGGGAAGGGAGGGGAGCCATTTTTAATTAGTCTCAGCAAGGAAAGCTAATTTACAGGACGTGTGCAAGCTTCCCCTGTACAAAAGCTTCAACCCTTAAGACTTTCCGGGGGAGAACAGTCTTAAAAGCATCCAAAGATCTCCAAAGATTTCCAGAGAAACAGCCCTAAAGCTCTGAGGAATTTTGGAGGATAAACAGTTTTGGAAGACCAAAGAACTCCAGCTGGAGAATCTACTAGCCTTTCTGGTAGGTCCACTCGGTGCTCGAGAAGCAGATTGACCCGGTAGCGGAGCCCACATCAGTAAGGATTATATTACAGTCAGCCTGGGAGAAGTTAAAAAGGGATTTTCCTTTAAAGTAAAGAATTACCGTATATTCCGGCATATAAGACGACCGGGCGTATAAGACGACCCCCAACTTTTCCAGTTAAAATATAGAGTTAAGACGACTCCCATGCATAAGACTACACCCGCGTATAAGACGACCCCTGACTTTTGAGAAGATTTTCTTGGGTTAAAATGTAGTCTTATATGCCAGAATATACTGTAGTTATTGAAGACAGTTGCCTGTCCTTCGTGGGCAAGATTAGGAAGCCACCAGTTGCATAAAAGCCTGGAATCATTTGTTTAACTTTCTGAAGACAAGAGAAGTTTCTGTTTGATTGTTCATTAATAAAGGACTTTGTTGTGGAAAATCCTTGAGAACTTCTCTTCGGGGGCACCTGGCTTCCCGCTGGGCTCAAGTCACATGTCCTATTTAAAGACACAGGCCCAGCGCACGACAGAACATGCTTCTACATACATTGACATCATTTTCTGTGTCACTTTAGCATCATAGGAATATCAAATTCTGTCTTTCAACATACAAAAGGCATGTCTCTGTATTTCTTTCTAAAGAGCAGCATACAGCTTACAGCTTACATTCATCAGTCAAGGGGCCTACTTTGACTTGTCAGGAGGGAGGGGATTGGCTCCTTGCTTAGCTGTAGCCTGGGCTATGTTGTACCAGTCTCTGTATAGATAACATGCCCCGTTCCTGGAATGTTCCCCTCCCTCTTGCTGTGCCTGGACGCAGCTTGGCTTGTCCTGCCAGCTTGGGTTTCTGATACAGAGAGGGAACCTGATTTTTCTATACATTTCAGTGCTTGTAAAGTACAAACAATTTATACATGAATCAATATCTATTTTCCAGTATCTCCCCATCACTTTCACAACCATACAGTTGAAATCAGCAATGCTTTTGATTTCTTTGGCATTTAAAGAGACATCTTTAGAGATCTTCAGGAAAATGTTTATTATGCAACACAAATGCATATGTTAGCAAAACGTATACAAAAAGGACTTGTTTCCTATGTCAACAAAGCATCGTTAAAGGCAGCTTGCTTTCAAAAGGAGGCGGAAATTTTGTTTGCGAAAAATGCATCCAAGGGGAAGTTTGTATGGAAAAATTATGCAAATGTTCATGCACACCTATTAAGAAGAAAAGTTCTCAATGGATGCAGGAAGCAAAAATCAATCGTGCGGTCTATTCGTAGGAGTCAATACATCTTTCCCTCTTTCATTTTCACTCTCTGAAATTCCTCACCTTGCAAAAAAGTTTTTATTTCATGTGCAAATACGAGTAGGGCGACACACAACTTTCCAGTGATAATTATGATCTCCTTCTTCCTCCTCCTTGTTCTTGTTTTCTCCTTCTCCTTCTCCCCCTAAACGAGATTTTCTTAAAATGTCACAGACACTTAAAAAGGCAGACAGATTAGGCAATGCATGGGTCTGAATGAAATTGTTTTCCCTGCTCCTCCTCCTTTCTTCCTCCTTCTCGTCTTCCATCTTCTTCTTTCTTCTTCATCATATTCCCCTCTTTCTTCACACTCTTCTCTTTTCCTCTGTCCCTTCTTCTCTTCTTTCTTTTCCTCCTGTCATTGATATTCTCCTCATGTGTCCTCCCTTTTTTCATCTTTTCCACTTACTGTTCTTTGTTCTTAATTAGCTCCTTCATTGATGTCCCAACTTTTCTCTTTCATCTTATTTTTCTTTCTTTTTCGTCTTCTCTTTTGTCATTTTCCTCCTCCCCATCTTCTTCCTCTCTTTCTTCTGCTATTCCAACTTGTTTTTCTGCATCCTACTTCTTTTCCTCTCCTTCCTTCTCTAGCCGCTTGTTCATTTTGACCTCCTTTTCCTTCTCATCCTTCTCATGCATCTTCCATTTCCTCATCTCATTTTTTCCACTTCCTGTTCTTATCCCACCTTTTGCTTTAAACGGGATGCAAGGCAACTTTTCAATCACTTTCTTCCCTTCTTTTTCTTCACTTGTTCTTCTCTTTTTTCCTCCATCCTCTTTCTTCACCCCCTCCATTTTCCTCATCTTTTCCCATCTTCTCCTTCTTCACCATCTCTTCCTCAATCTCCCATTTCGTTTCTTCCATCTCCACCTTCTTCTCCTTTTTTCCTTCCCCTCTACCTTTCATTCTTTCTTCTCTTTCTTGTTTTCTGCCTTGTCCTCTATTCTCTTCCTTCTTCGTTTTTTGCTGCTTTCTCTTCCTCCTTTTCTTTCTTCGCCTTTTCACATTCCTTCCTTTTTCACCTCCTCTTCCTTTCTCCTCCTCCTCCTCCTCCTCCTCCTCCTCCTCCTTTTTCCATTTTCTTCCTCCTCTGCCTTCCATTCTTTCTTCTCTTTCTCATTCTCTACCTTTTCCTCCATCTTCTTCTTCGTTTTTTCCTGCTTTCCTTCCTCCTCCTTCTCTCTTTGAGTTATTTCCATTTTCACCTCCTCTTCTTCCTCTTTTTCTCCTCCTCCATTATTTAGACTCAGTCCAGTTAAGTATGATCTCAGCCATCTTCCTCTTTCTCTCTCCTTCCTGCCAGATGAACCGGCCGTCCTGGAAGCCGAGGACCTGGACCGCAAAGCCATGCGCCTGGGGGGCGGCCTGGACCCGGACACCATCTCCTTGGCCTCTGTCACCGCCGTCACCACCAATGTCTCCAACAAGAGGTGAGCAGCATGGGAAGAGGTCCTCCAGGCAGGGGACCCTTCCAGAACCAAGACCTCTGTGGACAGACCCAGCTTTTGTTCATCTCAGCAGATTTGATGTCTGTTCCATCCCATCTTCCAAAGAACTTTGGACTTCTTCTTCCCCCTCTTCTTCTTCTTTCTACATCTTCCTCCACCTCCTCTTCTTCTCCTTTTTCTTTTTCTTCTCCATCTTCTCTTCCTGCTCTTCTTTTTCATCCTCCTCCTTCTTGCACCTCCTCTACCTGCTCCTTTGTCCTCCTCCTCCTTTCCCATTGAATCAATGGGATTTACCTATATGCTGAATTGCCCTATCCCATGGGTCTACTGGGTTTGGACCTAACATAAGAAGCAAGGCATCGTTTTTAATTTATGTTCACATCCCTCAGAGTTCAAGTCCATTCTAAAGGCTCATATGGCCTCCTAGACATTGTTGGATTGCAGCTCCTATCTGCAAAGCCAATGGCGAGGAGTGCTGAGATCTACAGTCCATCTTAGGCCTTGGCAAACTTCAGCCCTCCAGGTGTTTTGGACTCCAACTCCTACAATTCCTAACAGCCGATAGGCTGTTAGGAATTGTGGGAGTTAAAGTCCAAAACACTTGGAGGGTCAACTGTCTTTCGGTCTGCATAGGTCAGCAACAAGCTATTAATGGTCGGGAGGTCACTCCGATCCAGGCTGGCTTCGAACACAAGACCTCTTGGTCAGTAGTGATGTAATGCAGCTGGCTACTAACTAGCTTCACCACAGCCTGGAGGAGGAGGAAGAAGAAGGAGAGGGAGAGAGAGGGAGAAGGAGACGGAGATGGAGATGGAGGAGGAGGAGGAGGAGAGAGAGAGGAGAAGGAGGAGAGGAGATGGAGGAGGAGAGGGAGGAGGAGGAGGAGATGGAGGAGGAGGAGAGGAGGAGGAGGAGGAGGGAGGAGGAGGAGAGGAGAGGAGGAGGAGGAGAAGGAGACGGAGGAGGAGGAGGAGAGAGGAGGAGGAGTGGAGGAGAGGAGGATGTGGAGGAGGAAAAGGAGAGGAAGGAGGAGATGGAGGAGGAGAAGGAGAGGGAGGAGATGGAGGAGAAGGAGATGGAGGAGGAGGTTGAGGAGGTGAAGGAGGAGAAGGAGAGGGAGGAGGAGATGGAGGAGGAGAAGGAGATGGAGACGGAGGAGGAGATGGAGGAGGTGAAGGGGGAGAAGGAGATTGTAAATTGTATATTGTACTTTGTGAATTGTTGGATATCAAAGCCTTTTTTGTAAGCCGCCCTGAGTCCCCCCCCAGGGGGTTGAGAAGGGCGGGGTAGAAGCACTCCAAATAAATAAATAAATAAGATGGAAACGGAGGAGGAGATGGAGGAGGAGGAGGAGGAGATTGAGGAGTAGATGGAGGAGGAGATGGAGGATGAGAAGCAGAAGGAGGAAGAGGAGAAGGAGAGGGAGGAGGAGAAGGAGAGGGAGGAGATGGAGGAGGAGGAGGAGATGGAGACAGAGGAGGAGATGGAGGAGGAGATGGAGGAGGAGGAGAAGACAGACGAGGAGATGGAGGAGGAGGAGATGGAGGAGTAGATGGAGGAGGAAGTGGAGGAGGTGGAGGAGGAGGAGGAGAGGGAGGAGGAGATGGAGGAGGAAGAGGAGGAGAAGGAGATGGAGACGGAGGAGGAGATGGAGGAGTAGATGAAAGAGGTGGTGGAGGAGGAGAAGCAGAAGGAGGAAGAGGAGAATGAGAGGGAGGGGGAGGAGGAGAGGGAGGAGATGGAGGAGGAGGAGGAGAAGGAGATGGAGGAGGTGGATGAGATGGACGAGGTGGTGGAGGAGGAGGAGATGGAAACGGAGGAGAAGATGGAGGAGGAGAAGGAGGAGATGGAGGAGTAGATGAAGGATGATTCTATGAGGAGAGGGAGGAGGAGATGGAGGACGAGGAGGAGAAGGAGGAGATGGATTGTGGAATTATAAATCGGCGAACATTGGCCACAGGATGATTTTATTACTGTTATTGTTATGTTTTAACTAGTGACAATTGTTGATGTTAAATTGTAAATTGTATATTGTACTTTGTGAATTGTTGGGCATCAAATTGTGCCTTTTTTGTAAGCCGCCCTGAGTCCCCCCCCAGGGGGTTGAGAAGGGCGGGGTAGAAGCACTCCAAATAAATAAATAAATAAGATGGAAACGGAGGAGGAGGAGGAGATTGAGGAGTAGATGGAGGAGGAGATGGAGGATGAGAAGCAGAAGGAGGAAGAGGAGAAGGAGAGGGAGGAGGAGAAGGAGAGGGAGGAGATGGAGGAGGAGGAGGAGATGGAGACAGAGGAGGAGATGGAGGAGGAGATGGAGGAGGAGGAGAAGACAGATGAGGAGATGGAGGAGGAGGAGATGGAGGAGTAGATGGAGGAGGAAGTGGAGGAGGTGGAGGAGGAGGAGGAGAGGGAGGAG